ACTTTTCTGATAAATGTACTGTAAATAGTAATTATAAAATTTCCTGATTGCATATTAATCTTAACAATTTCATTTTTTTCTATTTAATAATGTCAATTTCAAACTTGCAAGTTGAGATAAAAGTTATGGTAATAAATTCATTTTTTTTTTTATTAAAACTTTCACTTTAAATGACAAAAAAAAGTAGGTTCAAAATGATTACTTTTAACTTATTAAAAATCAAAATCAATAATAATTTGAAAACAATTAATTTAAAAAATTATATAATATATAATTAAAAGAATTACTAATCTGGGTATAATTATGGAAATAGAAGTTGATGTTGCTTTTGTAATTATCCATCAATTTCTTATGATAGTGATTTTAATCACTGTCAGATTAAATCTATACTGGATCCAACTATGCCACGTCCCCACTGTGCCGCGATCCCATTGTGCTGGGTTTTTTGTTATCAAACCGGTTACATGCCTTTTCTTTAAGTTCCTGAAAGGTTTTGACTCTTACATAACATTTAATTTGTCCTATGTAAGAGATTCTCATTTTAGAAGACAAAGTAGTAGTTGCCTAACTAGGGATGTTAATGTAGTAGTTTCCCATCGCCTTCCATATCACAGCCCAAACATTATTTCTAGGGATTGGTAGCCAAGTGTAGATAACCTTGTTCATCTAAACTTAGGACTAGAAGCACTGCTGCCCACTTCTAGGTCTATTTTAGTCAGTTCTTATGACAGGCATGGACTACCAAGGATGTATTCTAACCCCTACACGTGGCTAACTCAAAGACACGTAACAGATATGAATGATTTGGATCCACAAAAAATTGACGCTATAATAACGCTAGACTGGGATTGGTTCTTTAAATTCAAAATATTATTATTTTAGTATTAATCAAACATATTAACGGTTTTGTTTATTATGAAAAATTACAAAATTTTTATGAATGTGTTAAAACTTTCATGGATTGTCTTGTTGCTTGAGGATATATCCATGTTTACAGTTGAGTTCTGCTATTTCGGACTCATTGCAGAGTCCATCTTCAGAGTGATGGTTGCTAGTCGGTGGCTGCAACTATACTGGCGGCCTATCTTGATAACAGTTTGCTTTTATAAAATTGATAACATCTGGTTTTTGATTAACGTTGTTTGCCGTATCAGGGTTTTTGACTAACGTTGTTGACCACAACTGGTTTTTGACTAATGTAGTTTACCGTATCCGGGTTTTTGACTAATGTCGTTGACAACATCTCGATTTTTGACTAACGTTGTTTACGGCATTCTTGACATTTCGGTCTTCCTTTCCTACACCGGCAATTATTTGTTATGTTGATTGTTGCCTCTTCGTATATTGAATTATTTTCGGTGTTGTTGGTTAATTTCCTTTTTGTCTGGTGTATGATAGGTAACCAAGTTTTGCTGATTTTCCACCCATCTTTTCTCTGTTAAAATTTTCCGGACATTTTTCGATTTCTATTGCTTCCTTGTACATCCGTTTGCCAAAATGAGTTTCTTTGTTAAGTATTTTTACTTTATCGAATTGTATGTCATGTCCTTTGTTTTTGGCATGTTCAGCTACTGCAGATTTTTCTGTTCTTTGGTACTCCACATCTTTTTCATGTTCTTTTATTCTTGTCGCAATAGCTCTTCCTGTTTGTCCAATATAAGATTTACCACATGAACACGGTATTTCATATACTCCTGGTGTTTGCATCTCTGGCAATTTATCTATCGGGTTTCGGAGTAGTGATCCTGCTACTGTGTTTGGTTTGAAAACGGTTCTTAATTTGAATTTTTGTGCGATTCTTGATATGCGGTCGGTAATTCCCTGTATGTACGGCAGTATTAATGTTCCTTTCTTTTCATCCCTCACTGGCACCATCGTAGAACTGACTAAAATAGACCTAGAAGTGGGCAGCAGTGCTTCTAGTCCTAAGTTTAGATGAACAAGGTTATCTACACTTGGCTACCAATCCCTAGAAATAATGTTTGGGCTGTGATATGGAAGGCGATGGGAAACTACTACATTAACATCCCTAGTTAGGCAACTACTACTTTGTCTTCTAAAATGAGAATCTCTTACATAGGACAAATTAAATGTTATGCAAGAGTCAAAACCTTTCAGGAACTTAAAGAAAAGGCATGTAACCGGTTTGATAACAAAAAACCCAGCACAATGGGATCGCGGCACAGTGGGGACGTGGCATAGTTGGATCCAGTATAGATTTAATCTGACAGTGATTAAAATCACTATCATAAGAAATTGATGGATAATTACAAAAGCAACATCAACTTCTATTTCCATAATTATACCCAGATTAGTAATTCTTTTAATTATATATTATATAATTTTTTAAATTAATTGTTTTCAAATTATTATTGATTTTGATTTTTAATAAGTTAAAAGTAATCATTTTGAACCTACTTTTTTTTGTCATTTAAAGTGAAAGTTTTAATAAAAAAAAAAAACTATTTGAGCAATAAAGCAATAATTACTTTAAAGTCTTTGAAGTAATTATGGGGAAAATATTCAATAGTAACTATCGAATTCGATAGTTAACCAATCTATTCAAATAGTTTTTAAACTTTCGGTAGTTTTTTTTTAAATATTTGATATTTTAAAACGCTCATCACTACTTGAACGGCTTTAATTTCTCTTAATGAAAATTTTATAATTATTGTTGTTACATGTAAGGTCTCATGATTACCTAACTTAAACATTTTACTGTATACCTATATTTATATATATATAGTTATGAGCTGACGTTTCGTACTCACAACACAGTCCATCTTCAGAGCGATAGTTACAGACTCGTGGTTGTAAATATACTGTCGACTTAGTTAGTTTACGATATGTTTTTATATCAGTTAATAACTGATAACATCGATGTTGTTTATCTGTTGTTATTTTTGTCGTGTTGTTGACAACTGTCAGTTTGTTGTTTACATCCAGTTTTTGTTGTTGTTTACAGCATTCTTAGCGTCGAAAAATGTCCAGAAAATTACAACGGAGAAGATGGATGGACCATTAGCAAGACTTGATTATCTATCTAACGCCAGACAAAAAGAAAATCAACAAATAACAAAGAAAATAACTTAATGTGTGAAATACTATAACCAACATAACAGAAAATTTCCGGTGTAAAAAAGGAAGGACTAAATGCTAAGAATGCCATAAACAACAATAAAAACCGGATATAAACAAACTGATACTTTTCAACAACAATACGGCAAAAACTGATATAAAAATTTTTAAAGTAGCTAAGCCGACTGTATTATTACAACCACGAGTCTGGAATCGTCAGCTCATTACAGAAAACGTGGATACATTCGAACAAATTTCAAGCAGTTGAGATAGAGAATATATATAAATTAATAGAAAGTTTTACCCAATTTCTTAACACACACTCTTCCCAAAAAATTATCCTTAATTATGGTAGCTGAAGGCACCACAACGCTCCCATTATAACTATGCTAATGATTCTAAGTCTATAATATAGTAATTTTTTAATATTATTTATTGTCCTCTCAACTAAACATTGTTAAGATTTTCTTTTTCTACGGTGATCAGTGTGGTTAACTAGAAAATATTTCAGAACACATAATTCTTGTATGAGAGGACGGAAAACTGTATAACTCAGCGATATTGAATCGAATCTTGATATCTGCACATCGAAGCACACAACGCGTTGCCAAGTACAGGCCACCAAGTCAATATTAGACTATATTTTATTAAATAACTGNATTGTCCTCTCAACTAAACATTGTTAAGATTTTCTTTTTCTACGGTGATCAGTGTGGTTAACTAGAAAATATTTCAGAACACAATTNTCAATATTAGACTATATTTTATTAAATAACTGATTTTTATAACACAATTAATAATATAATAAAATTGTTTTTTAAGAAGAACAATTTATTGAGCCCATATTTTATTGTGTTTTTTTTTTGCACATATTTGCATTATATTTGGCTTTTTTTAAGTGCATATAATTATGTACTCTAATTATAATTAATTAAATAACATACAAAGTAATTTGCCCCTTCGAGGATAAAAAAATTAAACTTTAATATTTTTTATTGGGAGGGAATTCTTATTTTTATCGGTTTCTTTTTTATAATTTGTTCAAAGATTTGGATTTCAAATACAAATTAATCCTTAATTTGGTTTACAGTATACTGGAGGCAACAATAGTCTTTTTCAATAGGCCGTTAATTATTTTTGTGGTCGTTAAAAAAAATTTTCCACCTCGGCCGCTCAACAATATACAGTAGTACAATCGTAAAATCTTGCTTTGAATATAATATTATGCGTCTATTAATAAGCATGAATTATTAAAAACGAGATTCTATGCGATTGANTCTATTAATAAGCATGAATTATTAAAAATGAGATTCTATGCGATTGAGGATATCGCCTAGTACCTTTGACAATTAACTACTGTATGCTAAACAGCAAATTATCAATAGAAAATTGGTGAAAACTCACTTTCTACTGTTCATATATANGAGGATATCGCCTAGTACCTTTGACAATTAACTACTGTATGCTAAACAGCAAATTATCAATAGAAAATTGGTGAAAACTCACTATTCTTAAACAACTAATAACAGTAGATTAGTTCATCGGTAAAAATAATGATAAGAACAGCATTGTTTTTAATTTTTTCTATTATATCGTCAAACTAAAAATAGTAGTTTCAATTAAAGAGAATTAAAGTTTAGATATTTTATTCTTGAAGAGATGAAAGAAAAATAATTAAACAACATAATATTGAATTTTTGAAATCAAATAATATTTTCCTGTGAGAAATATTAAAATTTTCAATAGTTTCCATTTAAAAATGAAGTATATTATCCTTAATCATTGTATAGTATATTGATGCAATCCCGCGACCCGTGCCATCTTTGTCAGCCGCCATCTAACTACGTGAATAAAAATATTTGTCTGACAAACACCTCGTGTCATACGCAACGGTACAAAGTCCAGCAAATGCCACACGGCTGTCAACGACGGGAGATTATCGTTTCCGCCAAATTGATTTTCTACCTGTTTATCTACTAAAAAATTTCAGAGTCATTTAGCTTTATCCATGGGTAATCCACAAGTTAGTAATGGTTTTGGCGTATTGGCAGAGTTAGCAGCTGCCCGTGCTAACATTTTCTGCATTTATTTGTTAAAAAGTTCAATGTTACGTTCAGGTCTGTATTTTAGATTTTAACATGAGTAATTAACATTGATGAGCAAAAAATAAAACATTCGCCCCTAAGAAATTTTGTCGACCTTAATCCTCAATCGTCACGTCATTTTGAATAATTACTTATTTTATCACATAGGTACAACTTTATGAACAAAATATGAAGTTTTATCAAAGGGAAATAAATTAAAGAAGATAACTGTCTTATGTATGTATACATATTTTTTTAATAAATAATAGATTTATAGATTATAAGCAAATAAAAAGTTTTACGAACGCTTGCTAATTTTTGTTTCATAATTATGGGATCAGAACAAGGGCCATTGTATGTTCTATAAGACATATTAAAGCTAATTTAAAATAGGGACAACTTTAATCAATTTTACTAATAATTTACAAAAAAAATACCTGTCTAAAAAATAATTTCATCAAGCTCATTCGCATGAATGGTACCTTTACATTCTTTTACAAAACAGCGCCAACGTATTTTACTCGTTTATATTGTTCACAACAAAACGAAACTTAAAATTATTCAAAAAAATCATTTGTTGTCCTCGCTTACTTGTAATCAAATGACATTAATTTAAAAAGTGAAAAATATAGAATGGTTAAATATTTACCGATATCAATACACTGCTATCTAACAACAATAATAGAGAAAGGAAAAAGTTCGATTAAATGAAAAGTAGATAATTATGATCGGGATATTTTGGAAATATTTTAACCAGTGGTTCTCAAGCTTTCTACTTGTAGACAAGTATAAACTATCGGTTTGGTGGAAACGAAAACTGACCTTATTCAGATTTGGCGCGAAGGATGAACATCCAACGACAACTCGCCGCAAATATATCACTGACTATATGAAGTTTGTGGTATATTTGCTATCCAGAATATTCAGTAAGTAAAGAAACAGGTCAATTGTTAAAAACAATGAGAAAAATAGAAACCCGTTTCCTTACTTACTGAACACCTCTATACAGACTACATAATAAATATATATTATAGTCTTGACATAACCTTGAAATATTGTATCATTTACATTTATTCCGTGTTATTTTTGAATAGCACCCCTAAAAATATGTATTTATGAACAGTAAATAAATATATAATATTCAGGGTTATGAATTATATGTTTTTGTAAATTTTGAAGGATCCTTAGGTTTTGCAACTTGGGATTATATAGTAACGTAGAAATATTTTTTATTTTATGAGGGGGATTAACTAAGATAAAGTTTTAAACAAAAATTTGTACAAATATGATATTACGCCATTTTTTTGACAGGTTTTTAGTTCTATTATATTGCTTGACATTTTTTATTTTTTTAATATGTTTTTAAAATCAGTTCTTTTTTTCATATTATTATTATGTTTCATGTAGTTTGAATTATATAAATAGAAATTATATTATATATTTTAATTCATTAAAAATAATGACCTAATGAAAATAATATTTTTTTTTAATCTATTTAATTAATTATTGAAATGACTCAAAATTTGACATATTTGTATAACATTAAAATTAAGCTTTTAAGCATTTTAGGAGAATTTTTATTTTAGATATTAAATGATGTAGACTTAAAATTATTTAAAACAAATTAAAATTTGACATCCTTCACTTATAAATAGAATAAAGAAAAAAGTTAATTAAATAATTAAATATTGACTTATTTGATTAGAGATAATAGACAATTACTTATAACAATAATTAAAATAATTTTATTACAACTCTTAAAATTAAAATTTAGTAATGATAACTTCATTACTGAGATAATAATAACAGGAAAATTATATACCATGCAAATTCAGATTTGTTGACATTTTTTTTATAAGGAATGGTTTTCGTATGTTAATTTTATATGGAACTATATGAAGAAAAGGTTAGTGTTAATAGGAGAAAATAGGAGGTTGAAAGATAAATTCGACAAGACTGTAGTAAGACCAGCTATGATGTATAGTTCAGTGTTGGACAGTTGACTAGAAAGTAGAGCAGAGAATGTGTGTAGCAGAAATGAGAATACTTAGATAGATGAGTGGAGTGACTAGGGAAGATAGAAAAAGGAACGAGCATATAAGAGGGATTATAGATGTAGCATCAATCGTGGATAAGATGAGAAAAAATAGACTTAGATGTTTTGGTCATGTTATGAGGAGAGAAGAATTGGAAATTATAAGAACAGTTATAGAAATTAATGTTGAAGGATGAATTGGTAGAGGAAGACCAAAAAAGAGATGGAGGGATGTTATTTAATGTGATATAAGGACTGCTATAGTGAGCGTAGATGATGTGGGAGATCGTGTCAAGTGGAAGTTAAGGATAAGGGTTATCGACCCCAAGTAGTTGGGATTAAGACGAAGAAAAAGAAAAAGAAGAAGAAGAATTTTATATGAAACTATAATTTAATTAATATAGATTACAACATAAATAAAGTCTCAAATAAAATGTTAATAAAAAATTTTCAACTTCATTCAAACAACAATAATTTCTACTAATAATAGAACAAAAAAAAAACTATGTTATAGAGTAGGTGATGATTGAATTTAGCTAAGAAAAATAGACTAAGCTGACCTAATAAACAGCATACATTTTATAAATGCAATCAATTAACAATACTAATGGGCGATAAATAAAAACCGGATGGTCTATTAATAGCAATAATTTTAGTTTACTATACACCATTAAACGGCGTATATCGCTCAAATTTTAAGCGATAAATTCAATCAACTGTTTTCAGTAGATGGACAATATATTTTAAAAGCGGCGACAAATTCATTGTGCCACAAGTAGTAAGAGCGACAAATTAAAGTAAAAGATTAGTTCATAAACAAATTAACAACGTGGTGTTTATAGCGTTAAGAATGTTTTTAAGGACCTGTCCCTTCAATTATACATACTTATGAAAGCAACGTTTCCAGTTTGCTTATGAAATTATTTCTATATTTAGGGCTAGAGAAAACATAGCTGAGTGATTATTGGGTAAAATAATAGCCTTTTATCTTACCATTTAACAGTCGAGTTGCATTCTGTCATGGTAATGTTCTCGGTACTATACTTTTCTGACACTTTAATTTTGTTCATCAGAATATCTGAATTTGTTGCTCTTACTACTTGCCTCGATTGACTTCCGTATTCATTGACTATTTTTATAATTAGACATTACTCGGGCACGAATTTTCACCCACCTAAGTATAAAAATAATAACCGAAGTAATAACCTAAGTCCGAAGTATTGATTCAATAATTATTTTTTATAACTATAAGTTTTACATTTTTATCTTATAAATAAGTTAAATATGTATATTGCCTTAAAAAAAAAATATGTTTGTATCCTTTATAAAGGATAATATAAGGTAAAACCTAAAAAGTATTTAACCATTTATATATTGAGAGACAAATAGTACTCAACAAAAGCAAAAAAAATATTTCTAAAATTATTATTACTTCAGGAAAACTTTAGTGGTCAATGTTATATCAATCCCTTTGTAATGCAATATAAATACCAGATTATATTTATACATACAATTAATACTTTTAGTAATATTTCTCGCAACTTTTATGTAATAGTTTTATACATTTATTAAGTTTACAATTTTGTGAACGATTATTTATATTTTTATATTTTAAATTAAAAGTTATTTCAGTACATAACCGATTAAACTATTATTAATAACATTACATTATATAAACATATAATCTCAAATAAAATTTTTAGACTTCCATAGAACACAATAACAAACATATCTGCTAAAAAAAAAAAACAAAAAGAATAACTTTAATATAGTAAAAATGATGTTGACATAATAAACAACATGCATATTATAAATGCAAATTATTTACAATTAATTTTATACCTAATTTTTATGTAACGGTTTTATACGTTTATTAAGTTCAAAATTTTGTAAACAATTATTTATATTTTAAATTAAAGATATTTCAGTGCATAACCATTTGAATTATTATTAAATACACTATACATTTAACCTAAAATAAAATGTTAAAAGAAAATTTAAAACTTCTATCAAATATAACAAACATTTCTGCTAAAAAAAATAAAAACTTAATATAATAATTTATTAATAGTGGTGCTTGAATAATTTGGATCAAAAAATAATAATAAATAACAAAATTGTATAAATTAAATTTATTTACAATACTGATGGGCAATAAATATCAAATGGAAAAATAATTCAGCCGGATGGTCTATAAATAGCATTAATTTTAGTATATTTAAGCGACAAATTTAAACAATTGTTTTCATCAAATGGATAAATAGTTTAAAAACGACGACGAATTCAAATAAAATATATGTAAATAAGCAAACTGGCAACGTGTAACATTTATAAGGCTTAAAAATGATTTCACCGCTCTGTCACATTTAATTATACAGACTTATGGAAGCAACGTTGTCAGTTTGCTTATAAAATTATATCTAACCCGCGGGACACGAACGATCGAATCAGAGTAACTTTTGAATAATATAGGATTTTTTTTTTTTTGTATCTTCCATTTAGCTACCAAGTCACGTTCTCTCATGCAATACATTCATTGTACTACACATTATTGACACTTTAATATTGTTCAACCGATTATTTGAATTTGTCGCACTTACTACTTAGCTCGTTTACTTCAGTATTAATGTTCTCAAATATATGTCCATCGAATGCCAAATAATTAATGAATTTGTCATCAATTTGATGTGTGGTTTTCAATTTCTTGCTCTAATATATTTATAACTATTTTTATCCTTAAACGTTTCTCGGGCACCCATTTCTGTCATCTGCCTAAGTATTAAAATACTAATAATTTTCAAAGTACTAGTCTAATGATTATTATCTATGAGTCATTTTTTCCAGACCATTTTCTATTATATAAGTAAAATAATAATGTATGTTGCCATCTAAAAAAAAAGTTGGTACTCTTTAAAAAATAAAAGACAGATTTAATAATTAATTATCCACTATAAATTTGATAAGTAATAGTACTCAACAAACCCAAAAAATATATTATTTTTATTGTTATTACTTTTGAAGAAATTCAGTGGACAACGATAAGTTGACCTATAAATCATAACTTAAACACATCAATTACCCTGTGAAGCTAATTAAATAATATATTATATATGTATATATACAAACAAAAAATATTTTTAGTAATATCCCACGCAATTTTATTGTAACAGTTTTATACATTTATTAAGTTCACAATTGTCTTGTTCTACTTATCACCTTTAAAATGTATAAACCCACCCCACCCAACCGGGCCATAGTGTTTTGTTGTATAAATATATATATATATATAGTCATTACTGAGTAATGGATCAAATAAGTTGTGCTGTTATACTGGCCCATTTGTATTCTACTATAATAGTTTAAAAACGGCGACAAATTCATTGATTATTTTCAATTTGATGGACAGATATTTGAGAAATTATATACTGCAGTCAATCAAGCCATGTAATAAGAACGGCAAATACAAATAAAAGAAAAGGCAATGAGCAAACTGGCAACGTAGTATTGTAAAGCGTAAAGAATTATTTTTATAAATTTATTAAGTTTCAAACTTTGTAAAAAATAATTAACATTTTTTAACTTTTAATTTAAAAGTTAAACAACAGTTATTGGACTGCATAACCGATTTTAAGCAACTGCAAATTAAAGGTGAATAAACGAGGCGTAGATAATTTATGGTTGAGGGTGGGATAAAAACATAAACCCCTTCCTAATATTTTTAATTTAATTTGATTCTGTTACGAACAGATTATTTGTCCTTCACCAACATTTACAATTAACAACTATATTAGTACCTGATCAGCACAAACGTCCCTACAGCTCAACTATGATTATACGGCGTTTGGGTATAAACAAACCGATTATACTCTTCTTGAATTAATTAAAATTATAATGAAGACAGTCGTCATTCTACCACGCTTACGGCAACCTACTTTTATTGATCGATAACCTTTATTGATCTGATCTCGTACAGTATTTTTATGGTTACTAAAAATAAATACTCTTATTGTTTTATTTATTATTATTATTTCGGGTTATGTACACTCGTCGCCGTCGCTCACCTAACTTGGAGACCACCAACATCTCTAGAGATCTAGTCAGGTTATATTTCAAATAATATCAAATAGAAATAAGTGCTTGTTATCGTTATTAGTTGAGAGTCTATATTTATTTGGTCATTAAACCACTAACTGCCCTTTTAGTGGGCTATAAATTATATAGGGCCAACGTTACCCCGTTTAAGTACAGCTTAGCCAACTTTTAAAACCCTAGCGGGAAAGCACGTTGCAATTCCATAAAAAAATATTTTATATAGGATAATTGAACCCCCAACATCTTTAAATTTTTTTTATGTAACAAATAACATAATATTTAATTTGTTTTTTAAAGGGAGGAATGGCTACATCTATGATTTACGAGGATAATTAAAACTCTAAAGATGTTGAATTAATTTTTTTGCAATGTACGTCTGAGGGTCATCAAGATGAGTGTCACAAGGCAAGTTTTATTAAAATCCCTCATCAAAGCCATCATGTATATTAAATACTTGAACAAATATAAAATTTGTACATATTACAACATTTTACAAAAAAAAAAAATAACCGACAAAAAAAATTTACTAAAAAGAATAAAATAATTCATATCAGAATTAGAATAAAGTCAATTTATTAGAATAATAATTTGCGAATGTTATTATTTTTGGAGTCAGTGCCAGTCCAGGTTCACAAACGTTCATCAATGAAGCAGCTTAGTACGAATGGGTATACAGGGTGATTGACTAACTATGCCTCACGAATTATCTCTGAAAATATAAGAGTTATAAACAATTTTTTTTTTTTAATCATTATGGATCTTTGATGAGATGTTTCACGAGAAAATTTAAATTTTTACCACCATCCCTTTTGCTTAAAAATAGTGTCAACTTCATATTTTCAAATGGCAACACTATTTTTTTTTTATACCATTAGATTTAGGTTAATAAAAAAAAA